AGAATGTGGGCTGCTCGAAAATATTGCTCCATATCCCACAAGAAATTCTCCAGATCTTTGGCACTCCTCTTGCCCCCGAATGACTTTGGTTCTGGAATTTTGATTTTGGAAGATGATGGCTTTTCTCCCACAACAGTCCGATTGTGCATGGCCCTCTTCAACAGAGCCACATCGCCCTCCAAATCCTTCATATGATCTTTGAAGAGGTCTGTCATGGACATCACATCATCCGTCATAATCTGCATCTTTGAGTTTGTCTCCCCCACAAACTCTTCGAGCATTGATCGTATTGTCTGCAACTCAACTGCAAACAATTCCATCTGCTCCATCAAGGCAGCAACATCGTCAGATTGTGGAGCACCCACCAAGGCCTCCAAACAAGTCACACGATCTTTGAGAGCTTCTGCAGCATTACCACCGGCCATGATGAACCCAACTCTGGGCTCTGATACCAATTGTCACAGGGGTAAATTCTGAACACGAATCTAGTGCCCTGTGATGGCACTAAGCCAGAAATATGAACAACTTTTCTCTAAATTTCTAACTTAGTTCAGCCAACTCGCACTTGCTGCCTAAAACACACAGCAAGTAAAACACTCTCACACACAAGTATAGTTGCAAGAATGTAAAGACAATAACACCCACGATTTTACAAAAGCACAAGGCTTCCAACCTTTTACTATTATTCACAAAACAATACAAGGAAATGCCTCAACCTGCAGAAGCATACAAGAGTCTTTCACAACACAACTCTGCATCTCACTCTCAATCTGTCCTCTCTACAGAACCCACATTAGCAATATATGGGCAAACTCTCAAAACCGTCCAAAACTGCCCACTAAAGTGGTGGATGACACCCCCATCCACCCACAACTACCCACTAAAGTGGTGGATGACACCCCCATCCACCTAGGGTCATATTGGCACCCACTAAGTGTGCTAACACTACATATGTAGTTGACAAGCCCAACTACTAGCTTGTTGGCATGTTCTGCTCATGCCACGTGTCCACAAGAAGTTGCACTCAGCATAGTGGAAGAAACCCCCTCCAACTGCCTGTGTGTTGTCCTCTCAAATCTGTGCCACATGGATGGGAAGTTATTCAGCACACCCCCACTCCCCACATGAGTGGGAAGTGTTAGTAACTTCCCCCAACCAACTGAGCCCACTTAATGGGAAGTGTAACTTCCCCCAACCAACTGAGCCCACTTAGTGGAAAGTGCTAGTAACTTCCCCCAACCAACTAAGCCCACTTAGTAGGAAGTGTAACTTCCCCCAACCACCTGAGGCCACTTAGCCATCTTCTGTAACCATAAGCCATGTCTGAGTCCCCTGAGCCAACCTTGCACGCTGAGCCTTGCCTACGCCCATTGCCTTATGCCCATGTCCCTGACTTGATTATGCCACACGTCCATGACTTGTGTGGTTCATACTTTAAGCAACATCTGAGCCAACCTTGTGAACTTAGCCCGTGCCAAACCCACTAATCTGCACCTATATATAAATGTCTCAAAGTGCACGACATCCAAATCGAGTGCCATCTGCGCCGACCATCTTCTATGGACATAAGGTGACTCCCATAAAGATCTCGAGTCAAAACTCCAAGCTTCACTTTTTCGCCATATTTACGAAAATGCCACTGGGCACCCCCAGTGCACGCTAACAGCATCCCATGGCTGTCAGGGGGCTTGTCAAGGTCCAAATCCCGTAACACTTGGCCTTTGTGCCTTTGAAAAAAAAAATAAAAAATAAATAAAAAAAGAGAGCATATAGGTGAATACAGCACATGCTTCTAAATTCTAATAGACTATGTTGAAGGTTTTATATATTTAAGTTACACCATATTGAATAAATTAAAATTTTGAAATAGATAGTAATTAATATGGTATAAGAACAAAATGTCTTGAATTCAAACCGCATCACCACCTTAACTAAAAAAAATAAAAAAAATTATATATTTAAGTTACCTCTCTTAACATTTTCTATATAAAACTACAATTAGATAAACAGAGTTAGATTCCAAAATATATTGAGTTTTAGAATTTTTTAGACTAGACTAAGTCCTAGTATTTAAAAATATTGTCGAGGTCCCCAAAAAATCAAGTTGATATGTCAAAGTTGCATTCCTAACATTAATCACATTTTTTGCAAATAGAAATTTTTGTTTGTGTGTGTATGTATGTGTTTTTTTTTTTTTTTTTGCCACTCAATTGCACGTATAAAATATGTATTAACTTTTCAAGACCTTTCACGATTTTGAATAAACAGAGTTCCAAAGGAATCTTAAGTGAGCATACTTACAAGGGAAGTTTTGGCTGACTCAAAAGTAATATAATTTTATAGGAATAAGATGGTACAAACCAATTCGCAAAACATTTTATGTCTTATCATATCAAGAAATAGAAACGTGCCCTAGGGGTGAGGCCTAGAAGGGTTGTCCATTCCTTTTATGCAAATCTCATTGACTTTTTTTTTGGAAATACTTGAAACTTTGATAATTCACCCGCTATCATGTTTAACCCGATGGATTAAGGGTTAGGACCATCTAGACATTTAAAAGCGAACCCAATGTGCTTGTCTATCAGTTTGATCCATACAAGTGCCCAATTGAGAGTGACAATTCAAAACATTCATACTATTCATGTAATATGTTAAATAGATTAATCAATAATGTAGCTTATAACATAATACAGTCTCTGAATGTGCAAACAACTGCTCTCTCTATTATTAATGTAAATTTGTTACATTTTAATCAAATCTTTTTACATTCTTTTCCTTCTTTTATTTATAAAAATCTATCTTTACCCTAAAATCTCTTGGTTGTTTCTAAACATTGAGACAATATGGGTCTAGTCCCTCCTAAACGGGCATAATCTCTTATTGGCTCTCACTCTCATTCAGAATAGGCTCTGAATGAGAGTGAGTGGGCTGGGGGGTCGTTGGCCAGTCTCGTAACTAACAAGCCGGGTTGAATTTGGCCTAGCGGGATATGCCCTTTCAGTCTTTAGGGACATAGCGACGTTGACAAAGATTTAGGAGTTTACTTCTTAAGATCTCGCTTTCGAACCACACTCCTAATTTGAATGATGCGTATGTTGCGAGACCGATACACATGCTCTAAGAAATAAATAATAATTTTAAAAAAAAAAAAAAAATCTTATAATATGACCTAAATCACACAATCCTTCTGAATAGTTATCGCTGTCGCTCTGAATCTTTGATGTTTTGCGCATGCTCTTGTTTAAATTTTTATTACTTTGATTTAATTTTACCGCTTTAACACTCTCGCTCTCATTTTATGTGACTTAAAATATGACACAATTCAATTAAAATAATTTTGTATCAATTTTATGAATCATTTTATTTATGGGACATTACGTAATTGGTCGGCATGTAATAAATTATATTTATTTATTTATATATATTTTGGAATAGAAGAGGAAGACGGAAAACCCGGTCATGACATAGTCAAGAAGTTATTTGGCATAATAATGTTGGAAGGAAGAAAAAGGGGGGGCGGAACACGGGTTTAATTATGTCACGTGTCCCACCCGTCCTGAAAGGGGAAGCCATTACCGACAAAGCAACACGATCACATGGACTCAACAAAAGTTGACTTGTACCTCAAGAACCCCGACACTGGGTCCCACTCTTGCTTTCATCACCTTCTAGACTTCTCGACAAAAACTCGACCAACCCCGTTCTGCTTCTGTGTACCTCCCGCCCATCAATTTTTTTGAACCCTATCCCTTTTAGATTTTTGTGCTTCACGGATGGACCAACCTAGATTTTTTCTTTTGTTAGCCGGCTATATTCACAATTATCCTCAACTACTTTTTATGTCAAACAATGAGAAGCTTTTATTATTATTATTTTATTTTTTATAATTGGAATTGGTAAATAATTTGAACATAATTTGAGATACAACTTTGTTTCAAGTGAGGTTCAAATATAAGAAAAATTATTGGATGGTATTGGTTATTAATATTTGGCACACGTCAAATAGTCAAGGATCATATAATTATTTTTTATTTATAATTAGATGATCCTAAATTATTGACATTTGGTAAATTAGTTAAATTTAGATTCTCGAATTGAGAATAATTTCAAAAAATGTGTATTAATTTATAATAAAAAAATTTAATATTAACTTTCACTGAATTAATTCACAAAATGTCAAATAGATCGTGACGATCTAATAATTTCTCAAAATAAATAAATTTGACTAAATATTAATTTTTTTCTCAATTAATCAAACATAGAAACACATGAGAATATCAAGAGAAGATGATGAAATTTATGAAAAAGTCGAATTACTATAATATTGTTGCTTGTTAAGCATAAAATATAATTTTGTGGGGGTAATTTATATTTTCATGTTCTCACACACACATATATAATTATATCTGTTTTCAAGTTATCATGTTTTTAAATATAAATGCACAATTTCTGCAAGTTTGATGAATTTATGGTGTTTACATTTACATAGTCAATAAAATAATGGAAGAAAAGGAAGATTTGATAAAGCTATCCTATTGGTAAATTTAAGATAAAAAATTTAACTAGAATTAATTATATATAGTTAATATATAGTAAATTTGGAATAATGGCGTGGACAGCATGAAAAAAGAAAATTAGATTTGACAAAGCTATCACTAGAGAGGGAAGATCCAACGGCCTAAATAGAATTGGATCTGGTGATAACAAATGTTGTACAAATACAGTCTTGGTGCAACACAACACAATATAACTTCCCACTCTTTAACATAAGGAACAGAAGCAATTATGAAAGAGACCGGGTCGGACCAACCAAGGGCCCACATTCGAATGGCACTCAAAATCAGAAACACACGCTTTCCCAAAATGTAGTCTCCGTGACATGGACTAATCAGAGCCTCTCTTTATATTACACGTGTCGAACTGGGAATGGCCTGTTCATAGCTGCCGTCTAGATTCGCCCTTTATATATAGAGAGCAAGCCAGACGCGTTTGTTGGTCACACAAACTACACTTTGCAAAGCCAAAGAGTCAAAAATAACAAGCAGAGTCAATATTCATATAGGAGCCTACCAAGAAAGAGATGTCACCGGAAACGACCAAAATGGCACCGGAAACTGACGCCACCGGCATGAATTTCAAAGAAACCGAGCTCACCCTAGGTTTACCAGGCGAATCTCGGTCTCAAAAATCCGGCGCGAAGCGTGGATTTTCCGAGACAGTTGATTTGAGCCTAGGAAGCTTTAGCAATGTTAGTTGCCCTGACAAAAATTGCACCGGTGAGCAATCAGAAAACGAGGTCTCCGGTGTGTCGAAGCCTCCTATTGCAAAGTAAGCCACACATTCATTAATCGTTCTTTTTTTCTTTTTCTTTTTTGTATAAACTTTATATAAATTTATACACAGATATATATATATATATATATATATATATATATTTAACATATATATGTATACATTTTTATTATTTTATAGGGCACAAGTGGAAGGGTGGCCACCGGTGAGATCATTTAGGAAGAATATAATGAAGACATGCAAGTTCGTGAAAGTGGCTGTGGATGGAGCTCCTTTTTTAAGGAAAGTTAATCTGGAGATGTACAACAGCTATCAGCAGCTGTTGAGTGCACTAGAGGAGATGTTTACATGCTTCACCATCGGTATGTATATATATATATATATATATATCATTGATCTCTATATAATTGTTACACACACATATATTATAATTTTTTTATTATGGGGAAATTAAATTTAGTCTTTTAATATTTGAATTTTGTTCAGGTAATTATCAGAATGAGAGGAAGCTTATGGACCCTGTAAATGGGATTGAATATTTACCAACATACGAGGACAAAGATGGTGACTGGATGTTAGTTGGAGATGTCCCATGGAAGTAAGTTAATTTCCACAATTTTCCCTTTGATTTTAAATTTCGGTCGGTTAATTTTTAGAAATTGTATTTTGTAGTAATTAACATAGAACTAATTTATTTATTTTTGGTAGAATGTTTATGGAATCGTGCAAGAGGATACGGTTGATGAAAAGCACAGACGGAATTGGGATAGGTAATAATCTATGGCTACTTAATTTTCATGTAACATTTTTTAAATTTTAGCACAAATCTAGATATGCATATATAAAAATAAGTTATATAGTTAGTATTTGTATATTTATTATTTCATTGATCTAAAGTTATAGTATATTGATAATATTATTAATTATTTTTTGGATTGTTTATGCAGCACCAAGGACACCTCAGAAATGCTCAAGCACAAGTTGAAGATTGCTTTAACTTGCGCATACTTGGCTTCTTAGTTGATGTACAGAGGCTTTAGGTTTCACTTTTGAGAAGTTCTAGCTAGAAAGAAGATCATGAGAATTATAATACAGACATGTCTTTAATTATTCGTGTATTGCTCTTGTAGCTCAATTTATATTTTGGGATTATTACACTTCTACAAACTTTTATTTATGAAAAAATAGTTGAAATTCTCTCTGATCTGTCATTCATTGTATTAAATCATTTTGATTGTATGTATGATTGAGATTAACAAAGATCAAAACAGAGCAAAAACGAATAAATTAATGCGAATTTAATCATTTCTTATTTTAGGTAAATATGCGAATTTGGTGATTGATTTATTTGATGATGGCACATAAAGCAATTGACGTATGAAATATAAGGAATCCGATGAGATTTGATCTTCATACACCTTATATTAAAAAAAGAAATTGAAATTTTGATCAATTATGTCATATCAGGGGCCCTATTACCATGTCCAAGATAAGGTATTGGAAGTGTGATAACCTTATGGACGGGTGTGCTGGAGGGTGCGAGATACTAACAGGCTACCACATTATCACATTGGTAAATTATGAGTGCAGAGTCTCATATCGCCTGGGAGAGAGAAAGGTGAAGTGCTTATATGTAGGTGTGTTACTTCAATTGGTACGAGGTCTTTTAGAATAAAGCTCAAGAGCAAAATTGTGCGGATTCAAGCCTAAAGCGGACAATATTATATCACGTGGTGGAGTGGGTCGTTACAAATGGTATCAGAACCTGACCCAGCCGGAAGTGTGTCGACGGGAATGTCGGGCCTCCAAGGGGGGTGGATTGTGATGACCTTGTGAGCGGCGCCTGGGTAAGGGAAAGGTGAATTGTTTATATGTAAGTATATCATCTCCAATTGGTATGAGGCCTTTTGGGGTGAAGCTCAACAATAAAACCGTGCGGGCTCAAGTTCAAAGCGGACAATATCATACCATGTTACAAGATGCTTCCGGCATATCATGTATCTGGCTCATTTGAGTCATACGCGTGTAAGTGGTAGCAACATGAAAATCATGTTCCAAACAAATAGTGCACCAAATGTTTAGTATTAATGATTTTTTTTTTAGGTAAATATGCCAATTTGGCTATTGCTTTATTTGATGGCACATAAAACAATTGACCGATAAAATATAAGGCCCGTTTGGTACATTATGATATTGTTTTTTGTAATATTAATATCTAAATTTGGGCTCATATTATATTTGGGATGACTGATATTGTTTTAGAATAATTAATAACATATAAAATTGGTAATATTGTGTGTTTTGATTTAATAATGAATGAATTAAAGCAAAATTTTAAATTTCTCAAAACAAATTTTTGCTATAACAAATTTTTGCTACCAAACATAATTTTGATTTTTACTCAAAACACTCTTATATCGCACGCCAAACATGCCAAACAGGCCATTGCAAGATGAGATTTGATCTTGATATAGTAAAATTCATATTTGGTTATGTGGTGGGCCCTATCTAAGTCACACAAAAAGAAAATAAAAGTGAATTTAAAAGCGTTAAAATTTAATAATTATGTGACTTTAATCCTACCACCACGTTGGCATCCCTTTACACAAACAACATGAAATTCATGTACCAAACCAATAGTGCACCACATATTCAGGGTAGGTTCTTCTTTAATGATTTTTCATTCAATTCAAGTCGCATTCTTTGTTGTGGTCCTATAAATTGAGGACTAGATGTTCCAAAGTTTAGTGACATCATCAGGTTTTGTTTTATTAGCAAATCGGACTCTTTGAATTCAGGAGACCCGCTCATCGTCTTTGTTACAGCCCAAACTAAGTCCGTTTGCGGGCTGGTCTAGTCTGGCCCATGAAGTTTGTCTAAAAAGCCTGTTATTGGGCTCAAGCCTGTGGCCAGTTCGTTAGGCCCGATAGACACAGACCACTGTGCATTGGTAGTCCAACTATGCCTGCAAATTTTAGGACCAAATGACCCGATATGCCAGACCAAACCCATGCAGGAAATTATAACAAAGGGCGGAGCCAGTGTGTGCCCGAGCACATGGCCCCTGCCTTGGCCCCGCCCTATATATATATATGATTATATATATATATATATATATATATATATATATATATATAATTTGTATATTATATCCTTCCTAAAATTATTAGTTTCTAAAAATTATTAAAACTTTTTCTCTTTTACTCTTTAAATTTCTTTAATTATATATAGAATTTGTATATTATATCCCTCCTAAAATTATTAGTTTCTAAAAATTATTAAAACTTTTTCTCTTTTACTCTTTAAATTTCTTTAATTATCTTTTTAAAAAATACATATATATATATATTTTTACATTTATCATTATCCAATATTAAATTCAATTGTAGATTATTAGTATAGTTAAATTCAAAATTATCATATTGAACATGATTTTGTACTTTTGTTTCTACTTTTTAAGCACTTCCTATTAATTTGCAACAGGACTGAACGTTTGGCGTGACACTAAATCAGAGACTGAGTCGAATCAATGTGGAACAAATCTCCCTTTATAACATTAAGTAACGTCCGGGGGCAGAGCCAGTGTATACCGGGGGCACATGCTCCTTGGCTGACCTCAACCATTGCAATATAGGTAATTTTTTTATTATACTTTTACATTTATGTACAAATTTCTATATAATGCCCACCCTAAAATTTTTAATTTCTAAAATTATATATTAATTTTTTTTTTCTTATTTAAATTTATTTCTATAATTTATGAAGTCAATAGGTGTAATTTTCATATATGGCTTTCAAAATACAAAATCTTAAAAGTGTATTCAATGAGAATATTATCACATAACATTTTAGATCTTATATTGGTCAAATATTTATATGTTTTTTTATACTAGTAGCTGGATTAGCATATTGTTTTACAAACTTTTTTTTTTTCCTTAATTTGTCACTTTATCTAAATTTTTTTTTTTTTCTTTTTATAATATGCCTCCTAAATTGAAATTCTGACTCTGTCCTCATCGGTTGAAGTGTCGAGCTACACACCCTCTAATTCTAAAATTCTTTTTTGGCAATTTTTAGCAAGATGTGATTATCAAACATATGACTTTCCGCACTTCGAATTAATTCTTCAACCGACTTAATAAACACCGATGTAAAGAACAATGTGTTGCCACGTCATGTGAGGGCACACACACTATCCCATTGACTGTTGTATTAGTACACTTGTATGAATGAATCTAGGTGCCGAGGCACACAGAACCCCTCAAATCTATGATCAATTGGAAGATCAACGGTCCATGATCACAGACCCTCCTATCATAGACCGTACAATTCGATACCCCCTGAAAGCTAAATCCGCGTACACCGCATGGACAACTGTGTGGCTGCCGACAACTTGAGCGCCTATTTTTACACTCAAATGGGGTGCCCCAAACTTCACGCTTCTCTTCAAAATCTCCTCATCCCATTTTCTAGATCTACTCCTCCTTGTCTGGTCTCTCCACCAGGTACTCTCTCAAACCCTACATTTCTCAAGCACATACTAATACACACATACTTATATATATATATGTATAATATACACACACTTGAATATGTAGATTATGTGTATGTAAAAATGTGTAATTGAGATTATGTTTCTGAATCAATTTCTTTGTCATTGCAGCAATTAAAAATCTTTGATTGAGATGTCTTCGATGGTCTCAGGGCTGGATTCGAACGGCAAAGAGGTAAAATCTGTGAGCCCTAATGTTGAATCTGATGTATCTGAAATCAAATTGAGTAATGGCAATGTCTGTTCCAACAATGTCACCACTCAAAAGCCCTTTAAGGTCTTTGTAGGCTACGATCCGCGAGAAGACCTCGCTTACGAGGTCTGTCGCTACTCCATTCTTAAGAGATCTTCGATCCCTGTGGAGGTTGTGCCGATTAAACAATGTGAATTGAGGGAAAAGGGGTGGTATTGGCGGGAGAGAGGGAAGCTTGAGAGCACTGAGTTTTCGTTTAGTAGGTTCTTGACGCCCTACTTGGCGGATTACGATGGTTGGGCAATGTTTGTGGATTGTGATTTTCTCTACTTGAATGACATTAAGGAATTGAGGGATTTGGTTGATGATAATTGTGCTATAATGTGTGTGCAACATGATTATACTCCTAAAGAGACCACGAAGATGGATGGGGCGGTGCAAACCGTGTATCCTAGGAAGAATTGGTCTTCCATGGTGTTGTATAATTGTGGGCATCCCAAGAATCGGGTGTTGACGCCCGAGGTTGTGAATGCTGAATCGGGTGCGTTTCTACATAGGTTCCAGTGGCTTGATGATCATGAGATCGGGTCGATTCCCTTTGTTTGGAATTTTCTTGTGGGTCACAACAAGATTGTTGAGAATGATCCAAGTACATATCCAAAGGCTATACACTATACACTTGGGGGACCGTGGTTTGATGCTTGGAAGAACTGTGAGTTTGCAGATTTGTGGGTGAATGAAATGGAGGAATACAAGAAGAAGACAGATATAAAGTAGATTTTTGGTAGCTGTAGCTGATAATATAGTACCATTTGCAATGTGTGTAGTTAAAGCAATTGTTTCGCTTACCAATTGTTTCATATGTTTCTCAGATATGCTATTTTGACAAAGCAGTTACCTTTCAGAAGTTAAATAGGCATTACAAGCATATGCTATATTGATGAAAGATTCATGTGTTCAATTTCAGTTCTTTCTTTTTCCAAGTGTAATACCATTTATTTTGACATTCAAGTACAATACCAAAGTTTGTTATCGATATTAATCAATAAGAAAATAATAGCCTCCTTTACTCTGTTTGTATTACATAGCTTTGATGTAAATATGATTTGTGCATGGCTAATATGAAAGTTATTTCCGTCTGTCTCTTGATTTTGTAGTTGAAATATATTCCTTCAATGTCTTAATGGTTTTTATTGTTTCACTGTTTGTATGTTATATTCAGAGCTGCCTGTGCTTCCTGGTCACCCAAAATTCATATGCTTCATTACAACGATTTGTTTACTTTTTGGCCCAATGTATCATATATCCTCTTTTGCAGCCGCTTGATTATAGTTGAAAGGTTTTTGCCATTTCTCAGTTGCAGACTGGTAATTGCATTCCCTTATGCTTTTACCCAGTCCATCTACTTATAGTTGTTTCTCGCGGGATATCTATTATGCATAAATTCTTGGAGCTTTACTCGATTTTTAAAAGGAATGTCAGGCTTGCACCACGAGCTATTTTCTAAAGTTAAACAAAAATTAAATGATTTTGTGTTGTTTTGAATGCCTTCATGCATCACCATGTGTTTTCTCCCTCGTCAACTAGTATATTACAGTACTATTATTGTGATTAGTTGACTGTTTCCATTTATGGGATGCAAGGGAAAGTGAAAATGACCATTTGAGCCATTCCCCATGTTAATGATTCTCGGGCCTTTTGCACAGAAAGTTGTGTTTACTGTCCTGATTTATTTAAAACGATTGAGAACTCCATTGTGCCACTCAATTTGAAGACAAAATGGTTGGAGATTAGGATTATTTCATTCAGCTAAAATATTATTTGCTTTAATCGGGGTGAATCTACAGGACATGCGTGGAGTGCATTTAAAATACGATTAAATTCATTCTTATATTTGTGCCTGCTAGTGAAAGCAACATGGGACATCTAACATGGGACAGAGGGAGTATTATTTTCACTTAAGAAATCTGGGGTTAGGTCTGAGAGTGTTAAATTTTATTTTTTTGTGCATGGAACTGGGGACTCTTCTGGTATCTGTCCAAATGTAGGATGATTTTCGCTATGTATTCAGTTTCTAGGCAAAAGGCTCTTCATTTTCATGGAGAATGAAGGAAAGCTGAGTTTGCTCACGAAGTTTCATCAACCTGGGGAGATCCTACTTGTGTGTGTATATATGTGTTTTTTTTTTTTTTAATTTATTTTTTATAAGAGCACTGAACAAGGAAAATATGACTAATAGTATTTGTTTTAAGAAAAATGCTTCCTCATTCCCGAATAAAAAGGAGAGAGAGAGAGTTCAGGAGTTTGGTAATCAAAAGATTGTATGCGCTCATGTTGATCTGTTGTGATTGTAAAAAGTTGACCAATGATTATGTTTCCTCCAACTGGGAACTGAAACTGATTGTTTGTGTACTTTAGTAATATGCTATATCCGGCCCAAAAAAAAAAAGGACAAAAAAAAAATTCGTTTTTAGGGAGTCGGGACAGTTTAATCTTGGGTGTTACGGTTTCTCAAAGTGACACTTTTTATGGGACTCGGAGGGAGTATAAATACTAGAGATGAAAGTGACTTTTTATGGAACGGAGGATGGAGTATAAATACTAGAGTTGGATTTGAAAACAAGAGACAATGTGAGAAGATTGGTGTACCAATGACACGGTGCTTAAATGTTTTTTGGCATAGGGTCTCCTTTGAAGGTCGGCCAAGGTCTTTGGGACGCCACGCATACACTCATGAACCTACAAATGTGCAGACAAATTGGGAAAAACCTTAATTTAGCCACAATATTGTGTTTAATTACGGCAAACATACAATTGAGTAATATAAATTACACATTTCTCTAGTACTAGTAAGTGTGTGGGGATGAAGTATCCACCAAGAAGGGGGATGAAGTATCCACCAAGAAGAGTGCTGATACCTATTCTTTATCTAACACTATATTTTTATTCTAATTCTTCTACCTATAAAATTCGGGTCAATGTGTTTACGTACGTGTGTGTGCATACATTTTAATATTTTAGTGGACGTAGCTTGTTTGTGATGTATATATCTTTGTATAAAAATTCGATATTCATGCTTCACGTTGACATATATTGTTGCATATTTCCTTCTACTATTAATTATCTCATTTATATCATCTAGTTTATTTATATATGTTGCTTTAGTCACAACTTGCGATTTCTTCTATTAATTTTTTTTTTAATAATTATTGGTGATGATTATGTAGAACCAGAAAGTTTCACCAATTATATAAAAAAAAATATTGTCATATATATTTTTATGGAGATTTTGTAGACATTTAACACTATGTCTGCATGGCAATGGCATTGGCCGATCAAAAATAAAATGTGTGTGTTAGCGACTGTTGGTGTGCAAAATTACGTAAACACGAGTCTTATATTTTATAATTGGTTCAGCTCTAAATTGATTTACAAAATTTAAGTTGGTAGAGCACTTAATTGGATGATATATATATATAGACGAGGTATATACGGGAGGAATCCTTCATGTACATGCCCAAGCAAGTCTCTTACTTGTAGCCTATAAAAATCAAAGAGCAGCAGTTTCCCTTTGAAGAAATAAAGAGAATACAAGCTGAAGCCAAACAATCCCTTCAATTATTGAACTTCATTAGCCAAACAAAAATCAGAAACAAATATATATGATGGATGAGCTACTCTCTCAAGAGATGTCCCACGTTGATCATATCAAACGACGGTTCGAGGAGAATGGCTGCCTCTATGCTTGGTCTGTATTTCTCTAACTCTTCGCGTCTTATATATATATATATATTAAAGTTTGTCATCACCTTTGGTTGAGACTGTTTCTCTTCTCTTCATAATCAATTCCCAATATATATTATATTGTGATCTAAATTTCACAAGGATGAATCACAAAATGGTTAAAACATATTTTGAAAATTTAGATTTGAAAGAAACTTCTAAGAATCGTGAAAAAAAATAAATAAATAAATAAATTTAAAATCAAGTAACTTTTTTTTTTTTTTTTTTGGTGAAGAAATTCAGATAAAAATAAACAATTTGAAGAGTTGAATAAAAAATACACATGCTGCAATTGTTTAATTGCAAAAATACGGACGTCTCTGCGAACCCTTCAATTTGCATATTTATCTCATTGATTGAGTTTCATTTCTTGTCTAAAATGTTTATTGAGCTATGTATAGAAATTCGTAAAGTAAAAATAATAATGAAAGAAAATAAAAAGAACCAGCTTCAGCAACAAATATATATATATATATATATATATACAAATAGTGATTTACGAACCTGGTATTATTCCCAAGCTGTCATCATGATACTTTTCTACACCTTTGATGCAGTTTATTCGCATTGTGTTGCTGCTTTTGTTGCTTCGAGGCTTGCGAGTGCTGTTTGAACGTTTTCTGCTGCTGCAAATAATTGTTCCTAAATTAATTAATTTCTATCAGAAGCATTTTTTTTTATTTATAATAATCGGAAACAGTTTACTTGTAATGCATGTGTATCTCATCTTTTACTATTAATTATTCTTTTCTTTTCTTTTCTTTTTTTCTTTTTGGTTATTGTTCAGAACTTTGTGTGAAGTTTAATTGCAGTGGAACTTGTGAGAATGGTGGGTGAGTATGCAAATATGGAATTGCATGAAAATGTTGTTTTATTTTATTTGCTTTCATTGTATTACAAGAGAATACCAAATATATATATATATATCCATATGAGTTGGGTCACATGCTGTACTGATCTTGTGACTGCTTTACATGTGTGTGAGTTGGATTTGTTAAATGGGATACAACATAATAGATACAAATGAGATCCCAACTTGATTATATATAACTTGATCTTTATATATATAGTATTCTCATATAGCAAAATGGGATACAGCATAATAGTTATATTACAGAGGATCCCAACTTGATCTATATATATATATAGTATCCTCATATAGCAAAATGGGATTAATTAGATGTGATACAACAACATATTAGCAACATATTGTTATCTTGACGAGGATCCAAAATTATCCATATATGTATATATATATATATATATATAGAAAATCCCAACTTGATCCATATATATAGTATTCTCATAGGCTCATGGATGATTTAGATAGTTGGCTCTCTTTTGCTTGGGAAATAGGAAGTAGAATTTGTGCTTGACCCTAACTGAAACAGGTTCTCTTCCAACTAATTTAGAATTATCTTTTTCTAACAGCTCAACTTTACAAGTATCTTACACTAACTCATAGATTAATTTAAAAGAACTTGTATCCACTTACTTGACTTTACCAGGCTGCTTTGGCATTAAGGATTTAACAGCTGACACTGCAGTTTTAATCCAGCCTTCCAAAGGTTATGATAAATATATATATATACACACACATACACATTTATATATAATTTTTTATTGCACCACTGAGGATTTTGTTTACTTAAAATGATCACATTGTTTTTAATTGAAAATTAACAGCTCAGAACCCCTTTACCAAATCTCGCAAGTCTACAAACTCTTAAACATGACCATGCAAGTTTTAAATTCCAATACTGCAAATAAAGAAATTACAAACTAAACAGCAAATGAAGAGCTACAAGTAGAACAACAGTTCATTGAGTTGATGCCTCAGTTACAAATTTTACATTCAGTCAATTACATCCTGCCATGCCAACTTACAATCTAAAACTTAATTCTTTATCCGGCAGATGACAACATAATTTAGGACAACAAAACTATATATATATATTTTTTTTTCCTTTCTAGAGACGATTAAATTCACATTTAACAACAGAAACATCCCAAGACCTTGGATTCCACATTACTCAGAAGTTTGGAAGAACCAAACCCCAAAGAAAGTCGTATGAATAGAGATAAAAACAAAATAGAAAAAGATTGGAAAGAATATAAATGAGAAAGAAGAGAACATTAAGATTAGTTCTCAAAAAGTACAAACTCGGGGAGGAGGCAACACCAAAATATAGAGTTAACTCCCATCTGGTTAGGTGAAGTATCTGCATCTGTTAGCACTCCACTGTGATTATGATAAATCAGCCCTTCTATCTTTAGAAGAGTGTTAGGAGAAGTTTAGGGGAAGACAAAGCTGCCACAGATTTAAACTGCAATCACAGAAACAATTAATACACTGAAACTTTTTCAATAGATCAAATGCTCATGATTTTCTTCTCAACTACTCCTATCATTTCTTACCTTTTCTTGCCTGTACTTTGCACGTATAGCATTCAAAGGACAGCCATTGGTATTTAACTGCAGATCTTGTAATGCAAGAACCGTTGTTTTCAGATCTGATGGCTTGTAATTGGTATAGTGTTCTAGTGTTGAACTCTGCCGGGAATATAAAATAAAAAATAAAAAATAAAAAGTTAAAATTCCGATTGCATGGGTTGAATAGAAAGAAAAAGCAGAAACAAAAGCAAGAATGCAAACCCATGGGTGGCCTGACTGATCTAATGTCCATCTGGCAAGGAATACAGCTGATGCGGCAATAATGGAAGGAAGAAATTTCAAGAACTCATAGTCAAGCAATGTCAGTTCTGCTAGATAATTGGACAAGAACTCCAATTCAAGACAAGGTGTCTACATATTTGAAACAATTACGAATATATAATTAGTCTCTCTTTGAACAGAAATTAGCAAGAAACCACCAACTCATAGTATCCTGACCCTATCCGGCAATGAACTAGATTAACAATATTACCTTGTAAGAAGCTTGAGCTGCTCGTAAGAATCTCCTGTGACAAGCAAAAATGCACAAGTTCCTTGAGAGTTTCAGTAGACTAACAGCTACAAAGATGCTGGAGATAAGAGGTAAGCTGAAATACCTGAGAAAAGTTTTTGCTGTGGGTGCTGAGAGTTGAAAGCCCAAATAGTTCAAAACTTGACTTTCCATTGCCAACACCTGCAATTTACTTTGATCAGAAACTTTGATAAATCCAAAAACAAAACCACAAGTACTTTGGCAGAAACTAGTTGCTAACAGTGTAAACACATTTTGTTTTTTCAATTTCTGGGTGGAGTCCATGGCTAATGCATTTTGGTAAGCCAAAAAATTCTGGCAACAGATTAATCTAATCCTCCACTTGCATATTTAAACATATCGTTCAGGATAATAACTGCCAAGCAAGTGCCTATTGCATTCTTGATGAACATTAACTCTTAAGTATAATATGTTGAATTTCATGAGTTCTAACCACAATTACAAGCTAAATTCAAAAAGTATATTTAGGATCTTCTTAAACATGTATACACCCCAAAAAAATCACAATTTCTTATTATAAAGCATCACCCTGAATTTCCATTTCGAGCCACTTCTTATTACATATCTTCCTCAATTTTCCTTGACTTTACTGACTTATTTGTTTTCTTTTCCTTTTTCTATAATAGTGGCTTAGCCAGCAATTGCAGCACATCAGCATTATCGCAGAAGTTTTGTTCCAAACCAATCATGAATTAGGGCATAAAAGTCAAAACGTGTCAAAACTATAGACACATCACAATCACACATGGAAGACATAAAACTTCTTGAACATCAACATCAATCGGTTATGAGCTGGGTTTAATATCTCAACGCAAAGCAATATCAAAAGAACAAAAATCCAAATAAATTTGAATGATCACGAATACAATAGTGAAAAACAGAGATATTTGCTTCAAGTATGAATGCAAATTATGCTGTTCAGTTTTACTTTAGATTTTTCATCTCATTTTTTTTTCACTTTCTAGTTTATATCAGTATCTTAATACTGTCATTCACGAAAATCAAAAAAGTAAAAAGAAGTATGGGAGAAATACCTGTACTCTTGTGTAAGTGTTGTCCGTGATGAAGCAAAATTCCTCCACCCGTGGTGCACAAATCTCTTCATACTTCCTTTGAGCCATAAAGAGAAGAGGCATGTTAAAAGCCTCAAACAGGAATAAAAGAAAGAAGAAAAAACAAACAAAACAAAAGGCAAACATAATAGAGTTTATATAACTTAAATTAAAATTTTAAGTATAATAATTCAGTGTTAAGAAGTTTACCCCATTTCAAGAATGCATCTGAGACCACAAATATGCAATATAGTTATTTTAGTTGATTATCACCTACATGAGAGGAGCATTAAAATCCTCCTCTAACCATCGCAAGTCCTAACTAGCTCTAGGGATCTTATGGGGCTCATTCAATTCAAGAATATGGAGACCACAGTGGTCAACAAAACTCCCAAGTCTCATATAATATCAGGATAGATTTTATTTGCCACAGCATATTGCTTTTGATAGTGATATTTTCTGTATCCTCCATCTTTTGAACAGGAATTGATACAGTTTGTTGTACTTTTTAGTTGAATCTTTTGCATACACTTTTAGCAATGAATCTTGATGTCCCTTCCATCAAATAAAAACATTATTACTACACCTAAACAAAATTCTTTCAAACTCATAAATATATCACATCTTTTGAAAACTTTAAATGTTTGTCATTTTGCAGGACCAACTCAATAAAGCCTCATCCTAATTATTAACATCGGCTAAATTAATCCTATTTCGCCATTTACTCTATCTAAAGCCATAGATTCGGTTAAACCACACTCCGTCATATTTATTTGAACTATCTGAACCTATGTTAGTTTTGTTATTCCTCATCGCTCAGTATAACCAAAAATGTGGACCACATGTCAATTCCTTACTAGTTTAGTTATTGATAGTCATTTGTGCACAGCTGAACAAAGTTTTTTTTTTTTTTTCTCTCATTTTATCTCCAATAATTAGTTAGTTACTACTTCAAGCCACACAAATTAATCATTTCTATTATATCCATTATTGTCTTACCACACCTTTCTCTCAGCGTCAGTATATCGATCATGTACTCTATTCTCTAAGCCATAGTAGACCTAATAATCATTTTATTTAATTAACCTTCTACAAGTTGATCTGTAGATTGATTGTCGAAGCCTTTATAACCCGTTTGGACCACCGAAGTCCAAACGAGCATGCTGATACCTTTTTCCGATGCTGTTTGATGAGCTCGTTTTGACCCGCAGAGACCCATTTTTATCAGAAATGGCCAAATTTCATCGTTTAGGGCTTCATTTTCGCATTTTTGAGGACAACCGAATATTTAAGGATTTTTTTGGAGTTCAAAACGGATTTAGATTGTTTTGAAATTTGGTAGGTATCTTATTATAGTCATTAGAAACTTATCCCTATTTTATTGTAATTTTTAGAGAGAGTGCCAAAATAGAATTTTTTTGGATTCGATCAGTTATATAAGTATTTGTCATAGTATTCAACATATTATTATTCATGAATAACAGATCAACTTCTTTTCTCTAAATTTTGTGGATTTAAAGGTGTTTCAGAACTTCTACAACTTCTGCTCCATCACACTTCCCTAAATTCACTCATCCATGTAGCCATCATGGACTAATATCACCTCCAATCTCCCGTTTTACAAGTAATCGAGTCTTAATAACAAACTGCTCACATTTTTGTAATTCACCGTACTTTTCACTTACATCACAACTTGCATTCTTAATTTTGCTAAAGTCTCTAATATTTGGACTAAGATACATGTATAGGGTGCAAGTATATGTCCCAAGTGTTAACCTCTCTAAATCCAAAATCTTGGGATAGATGGACTAAGCTTGAAATTTGTCAAAAAAAACTTGGATACGGATACATAGACATGTCTTGAACATTTTTAAAAATAATATTCTACATATTAGTGAAATGTATTGTTCTAACTTTCTGGAAAAAAAATGTATTGTTTCAACTTTCTTAAAAAATAATAATATACTCGATAATAATTAAAACTAATTGGATATGATGGAAAAAAGAGTGATTCCATCTATCTCATAAGGAAGCCCTTCTTTGCTATCAAATTTGAGTTTTTTCTTCTTCTTTCACCGTCCAAATTAGAGGATCATAGTATCCAATTCGGTAAACTTGTTGGACACATATCCTATACTCGTATCCATGTCATGTCATGTCTATACAGTATTCTAAAGGGAATAGACAGACTTCAGGACACGTCTTGAACACTAGAATATAACTTTTCTCAGTAGGTTATTATAGTATAATTTGTTAGGAAAAACACAACATATGTTACAATTACTTAGAATTTCTTTAAAAAAAAATTGGGATGCAATGTCCACCAATATAACTATCTTGGTTGTTATAATTTTTAATAAAAGTTAGCAGTAATATATATAACATCCCAACCAATTGTTACTTTAATGTTATACATAGATACATACATGTTTTAGTTCTTATCTGATGTTTACATTGAAACAATCTATAAATATATACACATGTGCATTGCAGTGTCCTTGCTAAATCTGTATCTCATTTTTTAAGTTATGCCATGTCCATATTCCTTATCGATATTCATGTTACATAGGTCTTATACTGTAAAAATTAGTTGTCTAAGACAATGCCACTTCCTAAGAAGCAAACACTTCTATGAAAGTGTTGTGTTGGTGTCAGAGCCAGGTTGGATAGGGACACTTCACAAACACCCCTAGACACATGATTGACACTTCATGGAAATGTCAACAATTTATAAATAAATTTCATTACTTTTGACACTTAATTAACACATGTGAGATACTTTGCCAACACATTACAAACATTCCATAACAAAAGTCATTTATATCACACACATCTCAAAGTAGTCACATCCCACAATCTTGAATACAGTATGAGAAATAGTGAAACTATACAAAGTTACCAAAAGTCAAGCATGTAATGACACTTTTTCATATATGACAGAAATATTTTATAATGACAAAGTAGGATGTAGCATGTAAAATATGATAATCTTCTCAATATTAGCATAATTTTAATCTTTTAAAATATGTAGCTTTTAATGTAGAACTTAAAATTTATTAAAGTTTTATAATTCCCTTATTCAAAAGATATACATAACTAAAGACTACTTATAATTATAAAAAGTGGTGTCCATGCCATGTCCATGTCTGTCCTACTTAAATAACACCTCTTTTTTCTGGACTTGGGGCTGGTTGTGCAAGGATAAGAGAAAAGTCATAGTCAAACTTTCTTATTCTGCATTGCCATGAAAATTAAAATTCATGGACGGCCAATTACCTCCTCAAAAGACAATTGATTTAAGGATCACATAGTCAATGAAATAATTCAGAATGTTGGTATGGTGTCATATTAATCAACTTATGAGTTGTGATAAATCCAGTTACTGTTGCAGTGATCATAGGGTATTTCTCAAATCATTGGCTAAGCTCATCAGAGGGGTTACAATTAGCACTGGAAGAAAATATTCTATCTCAAATTATGGATTGCATATTGCATTTAAATGCCATATCACTTTGAAACCAACAACCCAATAATGACTATCTGAAAAGGATCAATTAGATTGTTGCTGCACTTTTTGCTGCCCAACAAGGCAACAACTAGTATTAGGAAAGTTTTGGTGTGGTGCACTCTCAACATCTTCCACGACTACTATAGGAAGCTCTGGTACATTACTAACAATCAGGGTCAGATTTGTGTGAACTGTCTCCTTTTAGAATAAATAGACACAAAACACCAATGTTTTAGATATAAGTGTTCTCACAAGTCATAAAACACCACTACAGCCTTACCCTGTAGTATTAACTACATCTCATACATCCTGTCTAACATCGTAGACAGAAAAGTTCTAATGAACATAAATCATGCATTAAATTACACTACAGTTGAGGACACTTACGAGGAAATTAACATGCAAGTGATGCCAAGAAGTTGAAGTCTTTGCCTTTCCATGTAGTTTTGAGAAAGAAACAGATCAATCAGATACACTGTAAGGTACAGTGTGTCTGGAACCAACTTATATTCCTCAGATACCTGAAACCAATATTAAAATATTAGCATATTTTCCTTTTGTAGCCAGATTTTATATAGAAAAGCAGACACCTTGATAAAACATTTAAGCTACCAATTTAAGGAACACAACGAAATCCGGAAAATGGATCACTGGAAAGCAAGAGAAAGGGAAGGAACAATATTTCTTAAGAGAAAATCTCATGAGAATCGTGTGGCCTTGTGCTATACTAGAATGTTCATGAGAACAGTATTTCTTAAGCAAATTATATTTACTTTTCTTTATTATAATGTATTTACAAGTTCACAACACCTACCGTTAATGTTACTCATACCATGTTTCTATCCTAATCTTTTGAGTCTTATTATATTGAGATATTCTATTTAAATAAGAATTCATCAAAGAGATTCGACATAGATTCTAAAATCGGTGGTCTACCTAACACCAACCCCTCTCTTTTTCACATCCGGCAATTAGAGAGTCAATTAGCATAGGTCTATAATTTCTTAGATTTATAATGCACACCCATGTTTTTCAAATCAAGTATGTATTGCAATACAAGTAAATTCAAATGCAACAGATCAAGAGATAAAGATGCTACACAAATTCAACAACACATGCAATTACAGAATATGTATATATGTATAACCTTATCTACTGCATATATGTGTACCTGTATAACCAATTGATTTGTAAGTAGTGTTAACTTATATGTGCATACGTTTAGCCTTATCTACTGCCTACATGTGATTGTGTATAAATCGTGTTACAGCATGAGACGACTAAAGAAATCACATTTATATGTATTAGTATATGTATATAGATAAATGGAGGGGAGAGAGGAATATTGGTAGGGCAGAGGCAAAGGGGAAAATCTCCAGAGCAGAGTTGCTGGAGAACTAACGGTTGGTCAAGTGGATAAGGTTTCTAGAGTTCAGGCCAAGAATCCTTGTCGGGAAAGCCTTGTCAAGATTATGGAGTTAATGTTTCAACCACCTCATCTCGTGTTTTGCCAGAGAAGAGACCGTGGGATGGTGAGAGGTCAACATTGGCGAGGGTTTTCAATGAGAAATTTGAGACCGTGAGATTGGAGTTGTGCGGTTTGATGAAATTTGTTAAACCTTGCATTACAAATGATCCTGATAAAATTTTCAATGTGACTGTATGGAGGTTTGATAACTTGGAATGCAATTTATAAGACCGAAAAAAAAACTATTTCTATGAGTAGTTAAGAGTTTAAAATCAGATAGTTTTTCTTTTGATTTTGGTGATTTTGGAGACACAACGACGAGGGTCTTTAAAAAACCAATTAGACTACTATCAGTTAATGGGAGAAAAAGTAAATGTTGTCAAATGCTTGGACAATCCTCATATATAACTCATTAATTACTCATGGAAAATTGGCAATGTAAACGGTGGAAACAAGAAAATTGGTAGAAAGAGCCCATATTAAAAAATGGTGTTCTAAATCAACTTTTCCAAGAAAAACCATAGTTTTTAAGACCAACAAAAGCATATTATTCTCCTGCTAAAGCCTCAACCACTAAAATGACTTTTTAAGATGAACAATAAATATCAAAGTCAAAGTTAAATGAATATGGAGAAAATGGCTATCCATGCCTTTGAGGAAGGATAAATGGAAAAACGAAGTAAGGTAGAAATTGTGAAGATTAAACCTAAAATACTCATTAGTCATTACAAGCAATATCTTAGCTCTTTTACCAAGATAAACATGCATTTTGCCATAAAAGAGGATACCGTTTCTAAGGTCCAAAAAGATGTAAATGGAATAAAGTCGTGGAAATAGTGATGTAAATGGGTAAAATAGTGATTGCATTCATTTTCAAGGCACGCAAATCACTATCAATATCAAAGTAACTTAAACCCAAACTCTGAATATTCAAATAGAAACATGCATAAAAATTTATTAACTTCAAGGTCCAACTGCACTAACCTCCACAAGCCAATCAACCAGAATCCCTCGCATACTATGTGTGATATCTCGCTGAACTATTTCCATAAAATCAGAACTCGGCCTTCGAATGAGCTGGAGAAACCAATGATTAAACCACAGGTTAGCATAGAAGCGTCATCTAGCAAGACAGAAAGTAAATGTCATAGTATTAACAGGTACCTATCCTCTGTTACATGAAATCCCCTATTCCCCTCAAAAATCCCAAAAACAATACGAAATGACATCCAAATGCAATAATTGTCCAACAAACAAACCTAAGTTGACTTAGTCCTCTACAAACAATATGGAAGAAGAAAAGCTCAAAAATTATAGCAGAGAAGAGAGATAGAATAACAGCTCAAAAATTATAGTAGAGAAGAGAGATGGAAATCCATATCTTCACATATTATTTAATTTAAATTCTAATTGTGTATATCCATAAATAAAAAAAAATAAAAATAAAAAATAAAAATTTAACATTATGCATTACACTATTATAAAACATACAATGTATTCAACTGATTTATGAGGTTCTTGCACCTGTACAGTATAATGGCGTGCATCTTCTGGTGGTACAATTATAACCTACAGATTCTGTGTGAAAAGATATGAAATAATTCATCAAAACAGAACACAAAGTTCTTGAAAATAGACAAAAAATTCCCACCCAGGCTGTTATTTTCCATAGACTTGCCTGCTTTTAGTTCCAAGTAAAGTTTTACACATGGTACCGTTCACCACGGCTGTAAAACTTTAAAGGTTGCCGAATAGAGTGAAAAACCTTTGGGACTTGGATTGCAGGTTTCCCTTGTGAAAAAAAAAATAATAATAAAAAATAAAAATAAAAATAGACAGTATATGGTTTATTCTGTGTCCTTTTTGATACAGCAATTTTTGCTCATCCAAATGCAACACCTTATTGTGCAGCTGGTTTTAGCCCTTGATTCTAAAGGAAGGCTTTTCCTATCTGTAGGACAGCATAAAGGAAAGGCATTCTCAAAAACTATATGCTTTGAGTGGCAATTCTAAGAGGTTGGCAATAAAGCTAAATTCTAAATATTGTCCTTGATTTTAATTTTTAAAATGTGAAGTTGGAATGGAGGTGCAGCGAAGTTGAATTATACAATGAATAAGAAAATACATTACGCTTGCATCTCAAAATGACTTGCTAACATATGGTTTGAGTTAGTAATTCTTCCTATCCTAGGTATTGCAGACCATATATTCCTTATTTTTAATTCTATAGAGAGAACCACCGGCCTGCCAACCCATCAAATTAATGAACCAAACAATATTGTTTTAAATATCAAAGAGAAGAACATGATTCATACAAATTAAAGAATGGTATATATATAGCACAAACCTCTGCAACACATAAATTGCTATAGATGTCAGGGGCATAGAGGCTGCACAATTGAGGATCCTTGTGATCAGAATCAATGTCTTTGAAATCCGGATTGGTAGATATCATCAACTTCCCATGTAGGTTAACTTTCTCTGCTGTGTCCATCAAAAAGACAACTTGGTTGCATGAAATTTGAGAAAATATACATGTAAAACGATGAAACAAATCATGATATTCTTTCTATTCAGGTCACATGCACAAACACATCATTCTCATACACCGAGTTTTTTTTATCATTAAATCAATAATTTTGAAGAAACCAAACACCGTAAAAAGATTACATGGTTTTTTACCTCTATCACTTGACAAAACATATTAGCGAAAGGTTAGGCAGTTAATTAGAGTGCTCAGAGCGCAAGGACATAGGTTCAAACTCATAATTCATTATTTTGTGAATGTCAACAAAGTATCGTAAGTAAATTGCTCCCGATTGTTCAATCATTTGATAATCAGAGTCATTCTTTGATATTTATAGATGATCATTAGATACTTTTTGTGAATGTCAACTAAGTATCGTAAGTAAATTGCTCCCGGTTGTTCAATCATTTGATAATCAAAGTCATCCTTTGATGTTTTGTAAAGTCCCATTCTACCATTCTGCTCTTTTGTGTTGTCCCAAATGATTGTTCATATCTCACCAAATATATAAATTACTAGTATAGGAACTTTTAATTTATATAGAACTAAATGGTAACATGTTGCAACATTAAATTTAAAATAAAAATCCATGAATCACTATTTTATGATCATAACATACATATGACAAAATTCTATTTTAAAATATTCAACGTCGAAAAGAGAGCGTATAACATGGAGAAAAAAGTCAAAATCAAGCACCTAAGATTCATGTAGTTACAAAATTGATTTGTTTGAAGCAAACTTATGAAAGTAGTAGGGAGGAAGATATGGAGATTCAACTCAATGGCTTGAAGAATTGATTTCAAAGCAAAACTTTGTCCACCTTCTTTGTTACATATAATAGCAAAATAACCAACCAAAAGAAAAAAAAAATGAAAAGAAAATAGGAAATGAGACAATGTCAAACTCATAATAGTTAGTAAAATGAGGAATCAAAATGTCTAAATAAGTTGTGTACATAATTTGGCTAGTTTAAAACAGACTTAAAGAATAATTATAGGGTCAAAACGGAAAGATAATTTTGACATAATTATCATATCTCGACCTTCGTTTCATAAGATTTTTGTTGGAACATGAATCCTAACTTATCGATCATAAAGGAACAAAAGTGTAAAATTTTATGGTTGTACACTAGTATTGGAAGAATCAAGAGTAAAATCGGGACTCCATGATTCCTACAATCCTATAGGGATTCCATAAGCATTTTACTCTTATGGATTTTTTTATGGGATTAGGATCAGTTCAGTAGTTTTGATTTGAAAAATTTTAGGATCGTAAGACCTAGATTGAGATTCATATAACTATGCTCCCAAGTCAGAGCTCTAACTACAACAGTGAACTTTCCTCCACTGCATTATCAAGCTAAATCCTTTTCTACATTAGTGTTGGTTTAAGGGAAACAAAATTAACAAGATAAGATTATTTTACTAATGGTGTTAGTATGTAGCATGCTACTGAAACACAAAGACAACAAAAGCAATAAATTTCCACATAGTATGTCTCATGTGATCTGTGCAAATTTGAGATCTAGGATATAATGTTCATGAACAAGGAATTTGAGACAGAGGGCAAACCTTTTTTTGTAAAGCACTGGAGTTGTGATAGTATTCCTGAATGTTCTTTCCCAATCTGTGCTTCTTCATCAGACTTTTCTTCTGCGCTTTCTTTAGTTAGCTGAAATGGTACATCACTCTCCAACTTTACTGAACATACAACTTCTGCAGATTGAAGTTCTGTTTCCACAGTTATTTGAGCCAAGTTTATTTTTGGATCAGCTGAGAGCTGACGACTTTTTACTGCACAACAAAAATTTGGTTTCCTAGTTTCTTTAGCCATCTTTTCGTTTGAATCAGCTTGAACAGCAAAAGTGGAGGCCACCTTGGACACATTTACTGAACCTTTTTTAGCTTGCTTGCTATTCTTTTTCTGAAAATCAGAAAAAAAAAATAGAAGTTCAGTCACAATCTTGAAAAGCATTTATGACAAAAACTCAGAATCATGCAGTAAATATTGATACCAAGTACAAATATTTCAAGTGAAAAAGATCAGAATTAAGATGATCTTTTGACTTGCATATAATTATTACATGATTAATAACCAAAAGTTCCACACCCAGCTGTTTTCTATGTACTCAAAAACAGAGCCCAACCCAACAGAACTCAGCCTTTTTCCCATCTTTCTTAGGATTGTTTCTCTTTCCTCGGGCAATGAAAAATATTTATAAATATTTTAACTTTTTAAGTACCAAACTACCATTTTTTGAGTTTTATTAAATCTCTTCTTACTCAGCCTCACCATAAGCATCGTATACAAGCACATTATTTTTCCATTGCAACACTTCACACAATCAGAATTTAGATTCAGCAAAAGGAAGGCATACAAACCGGAATTTTAGCTGCATTGAGGCAAACCCTATAGGAATTTTCACAGCAAACATTTGTGACATCCTTAAGCACCGCCCTCCTCTTATGCTGAACGCTAGCAGGAACAGATGCACTGGTGTTCATCTCATCCAAGGCTGCTCTTTTTGAATTTGTTCGTAGTATCCGCTTCTGAGGTTGCTGCTTTGATGCTTCTGGAGGGAGCATCCCTCCAGATGTGCGATAGGCAGCAGCTCGAGCTCGTGTTATTCGAGCAATAGGCTCTCCAACATTAGCAAGAATCATGTTCTCTTTCTTCATATTTACAAGCCTTGGGAAAGAGAAGACAAGGCTTTCTAAATTGAAGTAATACTCATCAAACCTGCAACAGACTAACAAAAGATCAGGGCCCAGTGAAACCAAGGATAAGATGCACAGGTGAAAAGGGATGCATTGTATAGAAGCAAACTGCTATAGAAATGGATTAATGGGAAAAAGGAACAAGAATAATGCACAAGATCCTATATAGATGTTAACATCTCAAAGTTCAAAATTCAAGGCTGAGATAATCCACTAAAAGTGAATGCTGGAAAATCTTGTTTTCAGCAAGAAAACCTGATTTATGTTGTCACTCAGTGATTCGAACATAAAAATGATAATCTATGATTCTCGACTTGCAACAGAAATATAGATCGCTCCTTTGAATCACTATACATTGTGGAATTCCATCAAGCAGCAATCCTCAATATCCTCAAACTATGTGAGGAACATAAAGAAAATATATACAACTAACAGGGGGAAAAAACATTTCTTAGCTCAATGACTAATTTAGTGTAACACTGAATTTCATGTCAATCAATTAAGAAGTCCATAATTTAAGTAATAAACTAAGAAGAGCAAAAAAGAATGGAGTCACATAGAAACTATTTCAGATGGTCTACGCCTTTTTCACATACTTCTCTGCCTACTTACCCACTGATGTATGAAATAGGAGTGTTCTGAAAATATATACAATTAACAGGGAAAAAAAACATTTCTTAGCTCAAAGACTAATTTTGTCATTTGTCACTTCCCTCAAACAGGTAAGGAAGAAACCCCTTTACAGATAGATAAAAAAAGTCAAAGGGATATAACATGTTGATTCAATGTAGAACCATACTTGATTTATCCTTTTTTTTTCTTTTTTTTGTTAACCGCAACACTCGCACCCGATTCACAATCAGGACTTGGACGCTGCACCTCACCTAAGGGAGAGGCAGGAAATAAGATTCATCTAACAATGTTGGTATTTCATGTATCAGTAGATGATCTATTTCATTCTCATCATTTAATAATATTTCATGGAAATAGTTGAGGGCCTAGTAGTGGGCAAGTAGTAGATAGCCTATTATACGATAATATTTTTCATACTTTCTCCTTATATGCTGCTAACCTTTTCGTTTTTTCAATCACTGGCAAAAACTTTTATCTTATTTTTTCCTTTTTTTAGAAATCAGGTTTCAAAGAAAAATGTAACGCTGTAACTTAGTATATTTCTGTATCAAGGTTGCTCCAAGTTACCAGGAGAAATGAGACTAGAATATAAAACATGTTAGAACTGGAACGATGAGATGAATTTGATGGAAAACATGTGCATATAACATTCATACCTAAACAAATTTCCAGTATACATGCACCAAATTACATCTACGCAGTCTAAGATCCTTAAACAACAACTCCTGACTAATTGGGGAACACCTATAAATATATTTATTAAAAAAAAAAATAGAGCAATAAAAGATTACCAGTTATGGAGGGAGCTCAGACACGAGATCTTAAAGCTCGTAAGAGGTGCCAAGAAGCCAAAGAACACATCGAAACAGAAGAACAAACCCCACGTGATAATTTTTCATTTAATTTGCTCAGAATCAGATATTAAATAGGTTTGTAACAAAATGACGGATATAGAAGGGGAAAAAAAAAAAAAAAAAAAGGAAGATTATCCTGATTTGTGGTCCTTTTACTAAAAATATATATATACAAAAGAAAATAAAAATAAAACAAATAAAACCAGAAAAGTTGTACAAAATTCATTTGGGTGCAGTTCTTTTTCCCTTTTTTTTTCAATTGAAGTGTTTCTTGGACCTTATGAAAAGTTTACTATTGAATTCTGTTCATCTTTTTCACTTTCATAGAAACCAAACGCATCTAATGCATAGATTGAAAATCTTTCCAAGAAACCCACGTCCCAAAGATTGAACAAAACAAAATCTTTTCAAAAAAAGATTCAACAGAACTCAAATTCAACGCAAAATAATAAAACCTAATCGATCTGCAAACAAATAGTCAATCAGTAGCAAATTTCAATAATAATCCAAATACATTATATCACAATCAAATGCTAATCAAATTGTACCCTTACTCTGCCTTCTGAGCTCCAAAACCTCTAAGAGAACAGAAGAGGGTCGATCATGAAGACAGAAATGAGAGGTCTAGAGAGAGAAAGGAGATACTCGTATCACATATGATAGAAATAGATGGGGGGCATGAGCGGGACGGTGTGGAGTTCAAAATCAAAGAAATTGAGAAAAAAAATAATAATAATAATAAGTTATTGCTCAGTCGAATTTACAGTGATGGCCTTAAGGTCTTGACTTTGGTTTGACTAAGCCAGTGTTAATTTCTTCAATCGAGTATTTAAGGTATGATATCGTTACCCGGGTAGGTATAGAGCTGGCTCACCCGTGAAATCTGGCCACGCTGTCTTTAATATTACCCCTGATTTTTTGAGTTAATTACACAAAGATGCGTTGACTTGTTGATTTCATTTGAAATCTTGTGGAGTTATTTGTCATTTCGCAATCAGGTTTTGTTTGTTGTGTGAAGAGGGAGTTAAAAATCGCCTACAGTGAGATCCATAAATGCAGCAAGAGAAACGGACGGCAGGTTTTGATTAAGATTAGAGTGTGCTTACGATTATACCCCTAAACGTTCTTTAAATATTAGAAGAGGACAAATATACACGTGTTCAACATTCATTGGTTTAATTTGATGGTGTACAGTTAGACTGATAAGCGAATTTTAGTAATAAGAGCAGTGTTTTGTGGATGCAACGGGAAATTGCAGTATGATTAACACGTGATCTGGCAGCTTTGCGGGAGAATACTGCACAAGGGCACCTTAGGACCACCATCCTCTTTCATAAGCTACCGAAAAGTCAAAATTAGCCGCATATAATACACTATATATGTCTCTATTTTGAATTGCAATGTAGGTTGTTTAGACATTTCCATCACACTCAAATTTGAGTATGAGATCTTCAGAGTCTAGGCTTTTTTAAAAAAAAAATCTTTGAGATTCATAGTGGATATGATATGATCAACTTGTTGATTATTGAGAATATTACGATCTTTTATTATGCAGGAAAAGATAAAAATAAAAATACCACAATTTTAGGAATTTGTTTAATCTAAGTAGATATATGTATTTTTCTTCAAATATTCAGTCTAGATTGTGTCTTTAGCCACCGGGATGCAATCCTATCACATCTCAAGACCATATATATTTGTAAATTTATACAATTTTGGGGCAGACTCTAGTAATGAAACACACGGTTATAACTTCAATCTCCTCCTCCATCAGAATGGTGACTATTTGGTGTACAAAAATTGACATAGTCCCATATTGGGTCTCATTTTGATACATCAAAATAGTATCATTTTAATGCATGATATTGTTTTACCTCCTATGTGATGGGCTCCACAACCATTGTCTCGAAGTTGGCTGACAATTATCTCAATAAAAAAAATTTGTTATGTTCTTGATGAATTGGGGAAGAAAAAAAAAAATTAAATACGCAAATGATGATGTTATTTTTGAGATAAATTACACGTGATAATAATTGTTGGGAACACACAACTTAGGTTATTTTATAATATTTATTTTCTCAACATATTGTAAGATTTTTGGCGACAATTTCACTGTATATAGTTGACCTTTTACCACGTCTATATTTTAGCGCCAGTAAAAATATACTCATTACGTCATGGTTGAGAGCCTCTGAGATTGGAGAGAGATGACACTGGCCGTTGATGGGCTTTCTTCCAAGACAACTTGATAACCGTCGCCGAAATTGTCCATTCCTTGGGCCAAGAGTTGCCAAAAGAGCCCACCTCCAAGTGGGCCCCCACTTTTAGCGCAATCGTATATGGCATCGTATATATGCCCATAATACTCATCCCTCACCCCCACACTGTATCCTGCTGTCTTTGAAGACTTGCCGAACTCACCCAGCATGAGTGGCTTTCTCAGCACTGAGCCCGAGTCTCGGATATGGGCTTGGATCCATTTATCTACAAAATCAACTTGGGTCTCATTGTTTGAGCCTGGTAACCTGCCATAATACAACTGTATTTATAAGTCAATGCATTTATACATAAACAATTGAGTGATTAAGGAGTAGATATGGGATGAGCCGAGCCCGACACACTCATACCATTGGTCGGGATAGAGATGAATAGTGGCAAAATCTACTCCGGGGATTTGATTATTGGAAATGAAGTCAGTCCCAACTGTATAACCACCAGGATTGTCCTGCTTCCTTGATTCCCCATAAAATCCTTCAAGCCCAACTTCTAGGAGATGATTTTTATCAATGGATTTCACATGCCCAGCCATTTCCCTGATCCAATCCTGTACCATAATTTCAATTATATTAACCCGACCCATTAATATATATGTGTGTACGCGCGCACGCAAGAGACAAGTGTAAACTAGAAATATGGTATTGAAAAGAAAATAAAAAATTATCATGTGGAAGAAGTCTACATTTTAGTAACTTATAATGACATAAAAACGCAATTGTGTAAGTTCGATTTTTGAATCTTGTAGATTTTACGTCGAGTCTCACAAATCTAAGAATTGAAATTGTACAGTCTTGATTGCACTTAACATTTATCGTATAACATCATTTTGGAAATTCGATCGATAATGTTAAAAGAGACGTTACATTGAAGTGGCAATGTTGATTGATAGATATTAGATGCCTACACGAAAGGTTAAGACACTGTAAGGTTTGCTGAAATTACACTGCACTGGAGAAAAAGAAATACAATAATTGTGGTACGAAACAATATGATGTTCTTTTTCAAGGTTTGTTAGTTGTTATTGTACCATAATTTACTCCCCCACCACCCACTCAGAGAAAGTTGAAAAAGAAATGGTATTTTGATGATAGCAATCAATCCAACTTTCATTTGGAATCCATGTGAAAAAGTACAATATGGGTTAAAAAACAAATGATATATCATATACAAACAAACTCAAAACAAATACCATGTTTTTCTAGGTTGGTTATACGTTATTACGGTACTTATTATCTTTCTTTTCTCATCGATGTTAGTAAAGTAGTAGTAGTCTATTTTGTGATAATGGGGAAGTCCATTTCTACAAGAAAGAGAAGCACTGGAGCAGTACCCCACATATTAATTTGACATTGATATATTTTATCTCAATTATGACATGTCAAAAACAAATAAAGGGGATGTGTGTGTGTGTGTGTGTGTGTCTATATATATATGTATGTATATGTATGTGTGTTACAGTGTGCGTATATATAATATATCATCCTCACTTTTATTAACCACTCGCCTCTCTTAATTTATCTCTCATCCTAAACTAATTCTATACAATGCCTATTCCCAAACGAAATTTATTGCTATATATATATATATACACACACACACACACATATAGATATGCCAAATATACATACAAATATATAGAGAGAGGGAGGAAGACCTGAACAGCATTTCCTGATAGGTCAGATTGGCAACGAGGTTCGTTCATTAGCTCCCATGCCAAAATGGTGGGGTCATCTTTATACGCCGCTCCAGTTATTGAGTTGATTCTTGTGAGCACGGTCTGCATATATGTACTTCAATTAATTTTTCGATTACAAAAATTAATTTACTTAAAAGAATATCACATCTATAAGATATGTATATATATATGAATATATTATATAGCAGAAATTAAATTAACTAACTTTCTAGTGAAAATTATATAGACTAAAAAAAAAAAATCAAGTGGCAGTGAGCGGTGTCTATATATATATATATATATATTTACGGACAAAAAAAAATGGCCGGGTGTCTGAATATTCGGTGGATGACAAACGTACATAACACATCAAAGGAAAACAGATGTGAATTGAAAGTTCTAATTAACATATATTGAACAGAAACACTGTAGTATAAAGGGTTGAAACTAAAAAGAAATTAATGAGTGCATAAATTAAGGGAAATTAATAATATGTATAAGTTGTTAATTAAGCATTAAAAACAGAGAAAATTAAGAAGAAAGGTATATATATATATATATATATATATATTGCCTTGACATGGTTTTTATAGTATCCTTTGACAACGGAATTGGTGTAAAAATCATCATCATTGTTCAATGTCTGGCCACGATCTCTTGCCCACTGGACATACTGTTTTCTTCCTCCAAAATCGTTATAGTTATTCACCAAGCTCAGTATAAGATAAACTCCATTTTTTCCAGCTTCTGAAATCACAAAATCCAATCCCTGAAATTTCACAATCATCACCAATTAATCCATATAAATCCATAATTAATTATATATACAATTTTCTAGAGCATGCAACTGAAAAATTAATTACATGTACAATTTAATATTAATATAATAAATAGAAAAATCTAAAAAATTAATTACGTACCTTGAACATGTCCTCATTGTAGGAACCAGGAAAGGACTGTAAGGGTTTGTAACCGCCATCACTGAAAGCCCAAGTTCTGGCAACATGCATGCCATACTCGGTGGCCTGTTGAAAAGTGGTTGTCACCTTCACATTTGTGGATGGATCAGATGCCATATACATCAACCAGTAAGCATTGAAGCCATTCAGATATAAAGGCCTCCCATTCAGCACGAATTGCGTACCGCTTGTTCCAACAAAGCTACCCTCATCTGGAGAAGCTCTTGCATGTCTATATTTAACCAGTTGGAAGATAACCAGAAGAGCCAAGAAAATCAACCTCTTCCCCGACATCGATATATATATATATATATAGTTGAAGAATAATTTTGCAAAGATGATATATATGAGTGTACGTTGTTCACTAAGCTAGTGCTTATGACAAGTAACGTTTTAGTTTAGTAGGTTATAACTCAAGAATATATATATCGAGAGAGAGAGAGAGATGTAGCTAGATTAGATATGTATTTTGCTTAATTACTCTCTCGTGGGTTTATATAGAAGACGGGGGTTCCCTCTTCATTGACTTTTCATTCATTTTTGCTCCATTAAATATATATCAATTCGTTTCAAACTTTTTACATCCACCTAAGAAGAGTACATTTTAATTACACGACTTGTTTCGTGATCAACTACCTGCCTTAAAATGATTGGCAACAGCATGAGTTGTGACTTGAATTTTGATTAAAATTTCTGAATTAACCATAAAAAAAATAGTCTAAAAATGAAGCACTATAAAATAGATATAATTATTGCTTATTTGAAAAGCATTAAAAAAAAAAATTATACCTTCATAAATCCCAACAAAATGACAAAAAATCCCGCAAATAAAAAATATATATCAAACATGTTTGTTAATTAAAGAAACTAGTATTGGTTGTTTGGATTAGATAGTGAGATTGAAGTTATATTATCATTACATAAATTACAAATGATATAAAATATAAAGGATTCCGAATTTAGAACTGGTATGGAAAATCGCTCGAATTAAATAGCATTTGATTTTCTTTTTGAAATTGAAAAGTAATACTCATTGGTAATTTTCCCTAAATTATAAATGATTTAATATTCAAATGAGAAAAAAAAAAAAAATGAATTCGAAATAAAAAGAAAAAGAAAATCCAATAAATGAGCTTGGTTAGGCTGTTATTGATGCTAGTTTAATGACAAATGAACATAATATTAGGAGGAATTTAATGCTTGTTTATTATACAGATGACTTGTATTGTTTATCAAGAGTGCATTAATAATTTGGATACATATTGTATCAACATTTATTAAGGATTTTTTTTCTTTCCTTTGGTAATTAGTTGTTAGGCATATTTAATAATGCATAAAATCTCACTCCTTCATTTTCAATTCCAAACCGCCCATTTGATGAACATAAGTTAAAGCAACATAAGTGTTTTGATCAAAATCTCAATAAATAGGAAAATTGTATCAGTAATCCAAAAAATATATATATATATATTATTCAATATTACTCCACTTCAATTTCCCATAAACTTAAGGGTAGGTTTAATTATTTATTTTAATATTCACGCTCCAAGCATTTCACTTAATTTTTTATTTTTAAAAAATGACATAATTGTTTTTCAAAATACATTCAAACTTCACAATTCTTTTTTTTTTTATAATAAAAATAAAATAAAAAGAGAGGACACTTGCACTTTATTTTCGAGGGGTAATCTGTTTTTTTCATATACTAAAACTCAAATAACATGAAATTGGAGAAAAGTGAAACGCAAGTACACTTCCTTTGGCCCGTTCGGCTATTACTTTTGTTTCGTGATTTTTGCATTTGTTAGTGTATTGTAGCGAAACAAAAATACGAAGCATGTTTGTTGTCATTTGAATAATACCGAATCGATTCCAAAATTGAGGCCAAAATCGGAAGTATCAAAATGATGTTTTTGTTTACTTCCGCATTGTAACAAAATATTGTACTGCTCATTTTTATTCTTTTTTTCTTTTTTTATAAAACAACATTTTTAACTAGCCATTTAAATTTTCAAACTTACAATACTTTTTACCAATCACGCTTTCATGTTTTTGCTTCTAAAAATCTTATAATGAATTTACGTTACCAAATAAGTTTCAAAATAATGTTAAACACACTCTAAAACATATATATTACTTCTGCTTCGAGTCAAAACAAAAAGACAAAGCAACTGTAACTCAAGACATTGTCACCTTCCGTATGCTAGAATTATTAAATAATTAATACGACCTCCAAAATCTTTAACAAAGATAAACCTTAAAACTAAAACTATACATTTTCAAACCCATGTAACCGTATAATAATAAGCGTGACCTTCAAAGTTCTCAAGACGTTATTTTTCCAGTAAAGACTATTATTGAGATGTTAATTATGCTTTAAATAATATAATTTGTTTAAACTATATTTATTGCACTTAAACAAAAAAACAAAAAAAAAATTACAGATATTAAAAATTTATTAATATAATGAACAGTAATAATTTAACGCTTTAGATTAATGTTAATATTAAAATAAAATGATAAGATAACCAAAGCACACAACCAATGAAATCGGAGTTCTACAAAAAAGACTCAACTAAATGAGTGTCAACAAATTTGACTGAAATTTGATATAAGTAATATACACGTACTCAACACACTCAAATCTACTGCTATTAGTTGCTGACACTCACATGACACTTTCATAAATGTATTTTTTATTTTATTTTCCGATAAATACTCACACACTCGGAAATATTTGCTATGAATCAAACCGAACTCATCGTATCATTGACGGACTAGTGCTCGCCCACCCAGAAAAAACACAAAGCTCCTTGAAGAATGGCACAGCCTATCATCAAAGAGTTGCTTTACCCATCATAAGAAATTCATAAATGTATTTTTTTTTTTTTTCCGATAAATATTCACACACACACGTAAATATTTGCTATGAATCAAACCGAACTCAACGTATCATTGATCGACAGACTAGTGCTCGCCCACCCAGAAAAAAACATAAAGCTCCTTGAAGAATGGCACAAACCATCATCAAAAAGTTGCTTTACCCATCATCAGAAATTCATAAATGTATTTTTTATTTATTTTTCCGATAAATACTCACACACACTCGTAAATATTTACTATGAATCAAACCGAACTCATCGTATCATTGATTGACAGACTAGCGCTCGCCCACCCAGAAAAAACATAAAGCTCCTTGAAGAATGGCACAGCCCATCATCAAAAAGTTGCTTTACCCATCATCAGAAACTGCTGTCCCGATCATCATACTGAAAGGTACATGAAACTGAAAGTGAGAGATAAGTATTAAGAACAGACCATATCTAATGGACACAACACAACACAACAGTATTTTGTGTTGTATAATGTTAGCATCAGAAACCTTGTACAACTATAAAGCATCCTAACCGTTCTCATCAATACTTCGTCACTATGCAAGTTGATCGATTAATCTCATCACCTCAGAAAAATAAAATAAAAATAATAAGAAAACAATAAAATAAGAATAAGGATAGTTCAAATTTTTAATTAACACGATTTATCAGTATCATTCCCAATAGTCACACCTGAAATTATTGAATGGTCCTTAATATATTACAACGAAACTTGAATATTAGTTTTGATTGGACTGGATCATTAATTGATAGATGATTGGGAATCATTTAACAATTTATAATCACGAGTGCTGATAATCCTTCTAATTAAAGAACTGTTGCTCTCCCACTAACAAATCGTTTCCCAGTTTGCATATTTGATTTTTTCAGTCTTTGAATTTAATTTGCAAATTCTCAAATTTATAATAATTTTCCATATCTTAAATAATAGAAAACTATATGTGACATTTATTATATATAACAATAAACGAAAATCGATCCAATGAGTATTTCTAGAAAACAGTAGAACTGAAAGTGAACTTATAATTTAGGAAAGCTTGTCATGTTATTCTCTCCTTCGTATTGATTTTTTTTTTTTTTTTGGCAAAAAAGCATAAAACCGTCCTCAATTATTAAAAACCAGCATTTTATCGGGCGCAAATTCTCTCCATGGCACCTCTCACTGGAGGGTAGCCATTGCAGATCCAATGACTGGGATGAAGCCAACTCAGCCACAATTGCCTTGTCACTGCCTACTAAGCACCAATTCAGCACTAAAGTATGAAAGTTACTTTCTTTTATCATGTACGAATATTATATACAAAATTGATACCATCTACGAATACTGTATACAAAATTAACTTATATGTGGGACCCACATTATTTTTTACTTTTCATCTTCTCTTCTCTTCGCTTCTCCCTTCTCTGGTTCGTCTCCTCCCTTCTCTCTAGTTCAAAGGTTTCGTCTTCCGGTATCGTATTTTACTTCTTTTTTACTTTCGTTTTCTCCCTTCTCTCTGGTTCGTTTTCTCCCTTCTCTCTGGTTCAGAGACCATATCGTATTTTCCTGTTGGCGTTTTCCCTTTGTTTTGTTTAATACCAGTTCATGGATTAAATTGAGCACGGCAATGAGTCATGCCAAAATAATGCTTGCACAATAATTTATAGATCAGATTAAAAATATATATGATAGCGAATAAGCTCAATTTATTGATGATTATTAATAAATTTGAAGTATTATTAATTTTTTTATTTTTTATTAATTGTATTCAAATAAACAATTTTTTTATGATATTGGTGGTCAGAGTCTTTTAACCTATTAAGAGTATCTTATTATCACAGAAGTCTAACTTCTTATCATTTTATTTAAATCATTTAGTTATACATAATTTTTCATTGGAGTTAAATGAAGTATTGAGGGAAATTAAAATTTTAATGACTCATGGATTTTAATCATAGAGTTAACTGAATATTACCAGTACATTTATCATATTTGTGAATGTATTTTGGAATTCCAATCCCAAAACGACATTTATTTTGGGAAGCAAATAAATGACACATATTTTGAACATAACAACATAATATTTTACAAATAAGTGTTAACAGTTTACTATATAAACCACCATATCTTTTACCTAACATCTTCACATAATTTTAAGTAATAGAGTAATATAATGCATATCCACACATTCATACAATTTTCCAACATGTAGCGCCACTTATATGAAAATGTCATACAAAATATATTTTAACATATTTCAAGTAAATCTCATATAGGAAAATCATTTAAAATGGGAAGCAAATAAATAACACATTTTTTAAGATAACAATAACATTTTACAAATAGGTGTCAACAATTTAATATATAAACCATCACATTTTTTATCTAACATCTTCATATGATTTTATGTGATAAAGTAATATAATGCATATCCACACATTCATACACTTTTTTAATATGTGGCACCACTTATATGAACATGTCATACAAAATATATCATAACATATTTCAAGTGAACCTCATATAAGAAAATCATTTAAAATGAGAAGCAAATAAATGA